CAAAACAAGGAATGGACCTAACGGGATTGGAGTTCAAATATAAAGATTTTTTTCGTCCTCTCAAATTCGACAACAACGGGTCTCTCGCATTTATAGCAGGTTCCAAAAAGGATATAATAGGCTCTATTTCTAACAAGTATTTGCGAAAGCTGTCGAGGCTGAGCAAATCTATTGAAAAATAGGTCTCTCTCTTTTATAGCAGGTACCAAAAAAGGTAAGCTCTTTTTGTGCCTCAATACTTAAATGAAATGTTTAATCTGTATAAAGCATTCTGTGATGGATGTCTTGGGCGACACAATAAAAACATATTTAGAGCATTCATTTACCTAAAGACTAAAGTAAGTATCATAAATACCTATTTACTGAGAACGTCATAGATAATTTAAGTCTAAACAAATTCGAATCCAGTTGAAGAGACATACAGTTCGAACAGAAAATACTAATAAATAGGTTATACTTTCTATATCATAATGCTCTCTTTTAAATATATTAGATAGTAAAACACCATAGTTCGGATAAAACACCATAGTTCGGATAAAACACCACAGTTCGGATAAAACACCATAGTTCGGATAAAACACCATAGTTCGGATGAAATCTTCTTATTAAAATATACTGAAAAACGTTAAATTTGCTTGAATATAGAGTTGAGACACAGTTAATAAACTGCGGAGTGACTAAAATGCTATACAGCAAAAACAGAACGCTCCAACCAAACACTCCACCTACTGATCCTAACCACCCTAACAACTCTCTAGCTCTCTCTCTTCAACCCTCATTCCCTCACTCCTCTTGGTGCACAAAACCATTCTAACCTATGTATGTCCCCCTGACGGGTTCCACAAGCCCAACGGTACATAGTTAGACGAAAAACAGAGAAGCCTTGATTGCCAGATCAAGGACTGCATCAGTAGCAGCGAAATACGGATATACCTTCTCCCTTACAGTCAGCGAGCTGACAACTATCTGACTGTGTCTTTTAGGCCTTGTCACACCACCTTCGCTATTGCATCCGCTCGCCCGTATTCACTGACACATGCCACACCTGGGTTTAGTATGAAGATGTACGCATATTCACCCAAGATGCGGAGATGCCTCAGTTTAGCGAGTTGAGATACAACAGCAAAACTCACAGGAGCATGGATCAGAATCATCAGTTACCAACCTGACACCGTTTCGGGGCTTTAATCGCAATACGGTTTCCTGTCAGGCGCCCCAGCAGTCCACCCTTGAACCACCATCTGATCCGAGAGTCACTTGAGGAGACCCGTTAGAGCTCGCAATTGGCGACGAGATAACGTTTATGGTACCTCTAGATGTTATAGTGAACTCTCAAGCTCCAACCTTCCTGAACTCCCACTCCCTCTTTCTCGATAACAAGTAGATCCATCTGGAACAGTGGGCTGCCTCTTTCCCACTGTCCCGTACCAGCTTCTTCAGCTCTCTTCCCCTAAAACCAATCCTCCTCGCAGCTCTCTCCAAACTCTGCGCAACCACTCCCCTAGCTCCAACTTCGACTGCGGCATTATAACAGCACCAACCTTCCGCCTGAATCTCAGCCTGCAGACCGCTGTATCGGTCGAGCTTGTACTCGTGCGATTCAGCGATCCGCTCTTCAGATGGTACTGTTAGCTCCCACCAAATAACTGTCTTTGCCGACCTTGAGAATATCACAAGGTCCGGCCTCAGCCGTGTTTCCACAATCTCACTGGGAAACTTAAGCTGCCCCTCAAGGTCTGACAGCACTATCCAATCCCGATACCCACTCAGGATCCCAAAACCACGACTCTCCTTCCGGTCGTCTGTACCTGCTTTTCTTTTCCCAGCAGGAACAAAATCAATGAACTGCCTTCCATCGCCGGCCTTGTTCTTATAAGTGTTCACTCGGCGATCACAATGGAAGACAACCTGTTCAGAGATCTGCTTCAGAACCTTGTCGTGCCGCCATCTATACCTTCCTTGACTAAGGGCCACCTTACACCCAGCCAAAATGTGCTGAATGGTGCCCATCCTCTCCTCACATAACTTGCACTTCCCATCCTCATCTTCACTCCACTTGGAAACCATAGAGGGGGTTAAGAGGGTGCCGTACACAGCACTTAGCATGAACCCAATAAGTGAGTCACCATACTTAAAAAGTGTATGCCAGCTCAAATCCGTCTTCATTACGAGCTCTCTCCACTCACCCCACCTGCTCTGCATCTCCAGAGAACCTACTTGCACCTCCCTCTCTCTTTCAATGTTCTCCTTCACTCTCAGCATAACCTCCCTCTCTCTTTCCCGTTCATCCATCCTCTCCCAAGGTTTTTTCCAGTCACCAAAACCGATGCCAACTCTTTTTTGAGGTTGCACCATCCCTCGCACCGATTCACAGACCAAATCTCTTCTGGCCTCTTCCAGTTCTGTCTCAGGCCTCCAAACTCTACCAGAACGAACTTGGGGCTGGACTGCTTTAATCAGGTCATCCTTAGATGTCTGATAGGATTGCAACAGTCGACACTTCTCTATCTTCCATGTATCTGTCAAACTGCTCACCGGTAAGGCCACACTGGATGATTGACTGAACAGACAAAGACCACTCAGAGTGTGCCCCACCCCTAACCACTTCCTGAGGAAACTATTGGTATTCTGTTCCCATCTGGTAACTGCTGTGATCGGAATATCATAGATGGCAAGAGGCCACTTCAGTTTTGGAAGGACCATGTACTGATATCCCCAGCACTTCTGGAGTCCAGTAAGGGAACTTTCATCGAGTCTCCGAAGAAAAGTGTTAAGGTCGACCTTGGTTGAGTCGATGACTGATTTGTCATTTCCTTCCACTCTTATCCATCTCCCAAGGAATTTTATCGGCTTCTCTGACACATTCGGAATCACCTCACCACCCAACTGCAAACACACCTCTTCTCTCTCCACCTCCTCCTCTCCTACCACTACCTCCTCAACCCACCTCACAGCCACTCCCTTCTTCAACACCAGTGCTCTGGACTTGGAGGACTTTAACTTAAATCTGGACCAGTCCACGTACTTCTGAAACACATTGAGTAACGTTTGCATATCCTCTGCACGTGCGGTCGTCAGACAGCTATCGTCCATAAACAGCTTCAGAGTTGGTATCGGTGTGTCATCCTTGATGTACTCAATGCTTCTCGGAACCTTAGACTTTAGGTGTTCATGCCCAAGGTTCATGCACAAGACAAACAAGATGACTGATATCACACACCCCATGAAGATTCCTATCTCAAACTGCTGCCAGTCTGATGTCACCGTTCTTGAGGAGAACCTTCCGAATACCCCGGAGAAGTACCGTAGGATAATATTGATAACCTTCTCGGGGACGTTGTAGAAACGGAGGGCCCTGGCAATCAGAACATGGGGTACCGCTCCGTAAGCGTTAGCCAGGTCAAGCCATACCACACTCAGATCCTTCTTCTTGACCTTTGCCTCCTTCAGTACCTCCCACATGGCACCAAAATGCTCCGTGCACCCACGGACGCCTGGCACACCACCCTTCTGTATAGAGAGGTCTATATATCCATTCGAGACAACAAAGCTGGTCAACCTCTTCGCCAGGATCGCCAAATAAATCTTCCCTTGAATGTTACCCAGGGAAATAGGCCGTCCTGAACTTGGTGAAAAGTCGCCATCCGCCTTTGGGATGTAGACACCCTCGAAATACCTACAATTGTCAGGATATTCTTCTAACTTATATCCAGTTCTTAACAGGTCCCAGAGATTCTTGGCAATACCAGGACATCTCTTGTACACTGTGTACGGGATCCCGTTGTTACCCGGGGCACTCTTGCTCCTTGCCTTCTTTACAACCTCCTCAAACTCCTTCTTGGATACCGTTGTGAGGTCAAAGGCAACAGAGGGTTCAGGAGCACACTCAGGCAGACCCTCAAGTATACCAAGGGGCTGCTGCCGGGCTGGATCTATTGAAAAATAGGTCTCTCTCTTTTATAGCAGGTACCAAAAAAGGTAAGCTCTTTTTGTGCCTCAATACTTAAATGAAATGTTTAATCTGTATAAAGCATTCTGTGATGGATGTCTTGGGCGACACAATAAAAACATATTTAGAGCATTCATTTACCTAAAGACTAAAGTAAGTATCATAAATACCTATTTACTGAGAACGTCATAGATAATTTAAGTCTAAACAAATTCGAATCCAGTTGAAGAGACATACAGTTCGAACAGAAAATACTAATAAATAGGTTATACTTTCTATATCATAATGCTCTCTTTTAAATATATTAGATAGTAAAACACCATAGTTCGGATAAAACACCATAGTTCGGATAAAACACCACAGTTCGGATAAAACACCATAGTTCGGATAAAACACCATAGTTCGGATGAAATCTTCTTATTAAAATATACTGAAAAACGTTAAATTTGCTTGAATATAGTATATATATTATATAATAAGACTATTAGAATTAGCATCCAAGATAAAGTATAATATTTGAAATATATAACAATAAGATTGAAGGTAAATCAAAATGATAGAGTAATCAACAGTCTTAAGGACCTATTATAGAGAGCATACGGATTTTGAGTTCCCTCCTGAGGTTTATATTAGCTTATTATTATATAGCAAGTAGCCCTAGCTTTTCTGTCACCTTTTTAAAATTCCCATTACCCTTCATAGTTTCGGCTGCTCACAATTTCATTGTCTGATCATTGATTTTTAATCATATTCCTGGCTCAATACGTTTGTTACAATAAGCTATCGCACATTCGTGTGTACTGTGTATCAACTGATAGTGACATAGTGTGTACTGTGTATTGTGTAATTATTCGAGTACACTTTTATTACCAGTGGTATTATGTGATTATTATAGATGTGGTGAGGCAAATTTAGTTGGCACGAAATGTATTGACTGTTGCTGGTTGGTGCGCGGGTCTGTATAGGTTATAAACAATAGGTTATAAACAATAAACATGCAACTCTTATTGAAAACTAGTTCTTCAGAGTAGACCGGTAGTTTAACACTGACCTCATGTATCCCAGCAGCCAGTACACGTCTAACAGAATAATGGTGGTGTGAGGCGAGGGAGGCGATGGTATCCAGCAATCCTGTCTCCAGCACCAGCCGACTCCCCACATTTAGGCAGATCGCTGGAAAGTTGTAAGCGCAGAGAAAAGCAATGCTCTCTCTAACGTCCGATTCTTTCTTCTCGATGCTGTCCTGAAAGACATGATTTGGTTATTTATTATAATTATATAAGTGATTGCATTATTAAATTTGCAATTACAGTTCATAAAATGATGGTATTTCATGAGGCAAGGCATGCTTAAGCTTTCCTCCATAAATCAGATCGCACGATCATAAGACTAGATCCTACGTCATCTCACTCAATTTAACATATTTAAATTATTGATTGTTACGTTTGAAATGCGTTCATTTTTAGGAGCAATATATGTACAACTGTCGTTTGGGAACCTTTAGGCTTTAAATAAATCACAGGGTGATTCAAAAAGAATGTTGGGATCTTAAATGGCCATAATTTCTTAGTAATTGATTAATTAATTATCTGGGCAGTGGATCTGGTCTCGCAAATCAGCTTGGCTTTGTTCACATAACAGAGCTTGGTGCTTTATTCATTAAAAATCACATAATGTATAATCGTCCTCGACCATCGTTACAGTGTCAAGAACTTGGCTCGCAGCCAACCTTTACTTCTTGACCCACATGCACGGCCTTTAGAGGCCCCCTGGATAGTAGTTAGACCCTAAATATATCGCTGAGTAATTATAGAACCGCTGCACACTTACTATTAGGATTTGAGCTCGAATTGTTAAACAGCAAACGCGGCGAGCGACAGAATCAACTTAAAATTTTATCAAGTGCTCTGCATGTTTATAATACGGTGATTTATATCTCTGGTGATACCATTTAAAGATTTATCAATAGGCTATAGATCTATTGATCATCAGCAGTTAAAAAACATGTTTTTCTTAGAGTAAGATACCAATGTTGATCAGAGTAAAGAATGAAGTTTTCGGTAATATTGATGCCCCTTTGAAGTTTTGATGATGTATATTATAGACATTAGACATGTTGTGTTAAATCCTGAATATGTGTAAATTAAACAGTGTAATTGTCAGGATATCATCTACGTTTTTGCCCAAAGTGAAATGATCTCAATATCTCATATAGTCCACTGGGGTTAGTGGTTAATATTAGCGGTGCTGGTGTTATTTAGCGTTGTATTCGGAGCTCGGCACAATAGGAGCGGTGAAATAGGACGATTCTTGCATAGTAATATCTACAAATAAGCCGAATTTATATCATTTTATAATCGCCAAGTAATTTGCGCGATTTTGTGACAGAATTTCTGACGCGTATATGTAAATTCTATTGTCATGTTTTATAATTTAGCATTGTTGTTTATACAGTACGTGCTTGAAAGTCACACATTATTTAAATGGTAGTTTGTTAAGTGATCATAATTATACGTTAAATTTTAGGCTTTGGGGACGTAATTATAGCGGTCGCCTTCAAAACGATACGAATTGACCACATTTCTTGTTGTGAAGGCCATCTATTGAGGATACATCTAGTTCAAAGATAGAATATGCAGTTATATTATGTATCCATCTTAAACTTTGTCTGCTGATTGTTTCGATTGTTGCAATAGAAATCCTGATATGAATATGTTTCAAATTCTCCAAAACTTGATCTTGAAGTGATGTGTATCGAATGTATTCTACTTACATAATTTGAAATAGAATTTACCATTACATAGTTCATTGCTAAATTCATTGCTTAATTCATTACTTTATTTCGAAGACTAAAATATAACTCTCGGAAGATAATCAGATGTCTGCCCCAATTCCAGCGCTTGACAAATCTCTCGGTGCCCTACTGACCGTCAGTTCTCTGGTGGGATTTGTTGGGAACGTTTTAGCTCTGTTATACTTCTGTAACTTCTGGTCCAACCGACGTTATTCTCTTCCTGATAAGCTTTACATCGCCATTGTCTGTGCGGACATAGTTACTAACGTAACATCCATACCACTTATTTTCTTCCTTTTCAATGATAGAGACACTTATCTCTGCAATAACTCAGTGATGAATTGGATTTTTGTTATGCCCACCTATTTCTCTGTGAGGATGTCGATATTGCTGGTTGCAGTATTGAGTATCACTAGAAGTATTGCCATTGTGAAACCCCGTAAAGTTGGAGAAATCAGCTCTGTCAAGGTTGCTCTGGTCGTACTTGTAGCTGGATTTATGGTGGTTATGGGCGTGATTCCATTTGCTTTGGGTTGGCGTCAACCTGGATATACGGAAACAGCATGCGCTTATATGTTTTACACAGAAAAGATACCAAGCCAGGTCAAAATGATCATTGATATTGCAAACCAAGTCGAAATACTACTGCCTTGTATTGCAGTATTCATAAGCTTTATGGTTGGCCTCGTAGCGTTGAAGACTAAAAGAGTCGCTCCCAATTCCAACCTTAATAACGACAGGAGATCCCATCAAGCTTCGATGACGATTACTCTTTTCACAGCTTTATTTCTAGTCTGTTATTTGCCTTGCTTTGGGTGGAATCTGCTGAATATACTAGCGTATTCTGTCCCATCAGTTGACAGTATGGTTCTAAGCTACATGGAAAGATCTAGATGGTTCCAATGGAACAGTCAAATTCTTTGCATACAATTTTGTGTCTCCCTCAATGCAGCCCTGAGTCCATGTCTCTACTGCTGGAGGATGCCTCGTTACAGGGAGTTCCTCTCACGTTGGTCTACCACAGTCAGAGGAATTATTAGAGAGGTTGTGGGTTAGTTGCGTAAGGAACGAAGGTAGAAGAGAACTCACGTGACGCGACGTATCACGTGACGCGACGTATCACGTGACGCGACGTATCACGTGACGCGAAGTATCACGTGACGCGAAGTATCACGTGACGCGAAGTATCACGTGACGCGACGTATCACGTGACGCGACGTATCACGTGACGCGACGTATCACGTGACGCGACGTATCACGTGACGCGACGTATCACGTGACGCGACGTATCACGTGACGCGACGTATCACGTGACGCGACGTATCACGTGACGCGACGTATCACGTGACGCGACGTATCACGTGACGTGACGTATCACGTGACGCATCGACAGAACTCTGAAGTTAACTGTAAACTGATGTTAAATCTCTATTATATCTGCTACTGTATTATATCTGCTACTGTTGACCGATACTTTTATGAAGCCAACCTTTCAACTTAGATTAAACAATTATCAGATTTGTTGATCAATGAATGTTCGTATCAATTTAAGACAAACCTGTTTTATGTCGAACAAAATTATTTTACTCTCAATCAAGATTTGTTGTAACATATATCACTGAGTCTTTCAAACAAGCTGAATAGTCAGAGTTTTAAGCCACAAAGTCTTCCAGACAATTTTAATTTGCATTCGCTAGAGCATAATTTGTTATTTGAGTGTTGATTTGAGATGTCATATTATTATCTTATTAAAATTCAGCAGATAAAAAGGTTATTTCTGGAGTTTGGAATAAATCACTTGAATGGACAAACTTCTATCAAATCTACCTTACTCGGGAATATTATAGCGGGTTAATTTATGACTGGGAAAATTAATGACCGGGAAAAATATGGCGGAATTTTCCAAAACCCATCAAGCATCAAAATGTATTACTATTAGTTTACCTTACTCGGGAACATTATAGCGGGTTAATTTATGACTGGGAAAATTAATGACCGGGAAAAATATGGCGGAATTACCCAAAACCCACCACTTTATCCCAGTCATAATATTCCCGAGTAAGGTAGTCACCAATGCCCAAATACATATAGACTATAGAGTGGACTCTAAAGAATGCATGTGCTTAGTTTTGATGGTAGACCGTGTCTACATGAGCTGTCTATTACCACGCAGTTTACAACACAGCCCTCTCAACCCTAACACCAGGGAGCTGTCTATTACCACGCAGTTTACAACACAGCCCTCTCAACCCTAACACCAGGGAGGCCACACTCATAAACATGATCTGATGAGAAGGGGGCGTGAGACAAGAGCATGGTGTCCCAACATGCCACCTAGCATGTCCTCCACCAATTCAATTACAATGCCATGTTTACAGTCCCCCGGTCCTAGCGCCCAATGAGTTGAGTATGCACCTACTTCACAACTACACGTGGCACCACTGTATTATTCACATTATTATAAGATCGTACTGATAAGTAATTTTCTGTATGCCGTACGATCGGTAAACTGATACGACGTTTAAATCTTGACGCTGTGAGTGGGGCTCGAAACACTCTCAAGATGGAACATTCGAGATGGGATGGGAAATTTGGAGGTTTGTGAGATCGCACCTGCAGGATTAATTTACCCTCCGGACCCTCCATAATTATTGTAGTTAAGGTATTTAGCAAGTGCTTAGTTGATAAGAAAACAGGGCACGTTGTAATGGTGTTAAATATTTAATTTCAGTCCGACCCATAGGTAGATAAATTCTTTAATTTAAACAGTAGCCGGAATATTAACCTGGATGGACGGATGGTGTGTATTACATGGACACAGCTTTAGTTGGAAAAGAAAACATTGATATTCAGTAATTAATTATGTGATGTTATTGTAATATATTGAAAGATACTACTTGAATTATAACTCCTGACGGATTGATTCGTGAATCGTGATGAAATATATAATTGTCAAGTCAATAAAATTAATACAGACAAATCTGCCAACTTTCTTTGGATATTCGGAGTTCAGACAGTTTTGAGTTTTTCGAGCCCTTACGGCTCAAGAATAAGACTTTTCGATAAAATACAATAACCAAGCCAGCAATGGTCCGTACTCCGTGACACGGCACTCCAGTAGAATATAGTAAATGTGACACGACACTCCAGTAGAATATAGTAAATGATCAGATTGTTACATATTCAGATGATGCGATGACTAGGTTAGGTATTAACGCACTGTGCAAGCAACCAGCCTTTCAGCGCACATTTTTACAGTTCCGCCCGACTTGCGGGCAGGCCTGCTTGTTACATGTAATTAACTCACGTTATTGCATGTTTGACAGGAGAAAAAGATGTGAAGTGAGGTGCAACCTGTGACATTTCCGTCACGTGACATATGTAAAATGATAGACAATAAGGGTATTGTTGGAGCTCTATGGAATAATTAATGAGACCATGACAACTGCCAACTGTCGACAGTCATTTTTTCTAAAGAACTTGAAAAATGTTTTTCACATTACATGTTCATGTTACGATTTGTGCATGCTGCAAGAAGACCTCCACTAAGAGACATTATCGGAATTTCACACACTATTTCACGACTAATGTATTTCACAATCAAGCCATAATATGAGTCACGTACAAGGTTTTCTGTGGATGGTTTCGGCTTAAATGGGCTTTCAAAAACCATTTTTCTCAGATATTACGGCTAAATCTTAAACCAATTATAGGATCTTCTCATTCACATCAAACATTTCTAGTTTGCAGTGGTCAAAAGAAAATGGAAGACATACAAACACAGCCAGATTTAAGAATATAATATCAAAATCAAAAGTAGAGCAGATAATAATATGGTAATTGGTAAAGCCGATATGATGTTTGATCTTGTGGTGCGGGATTGGAGGGTACTTAGTCTACTCACAGGCTTATATCTACTTACTTAGTCTTCTTACCAGGCTTATATCTACTTACTTAGTCTTTTTACCAGGCTTATATCTACTTACTTAGTCTTCTTACCAGGCTTATATCTACTTACTTAGTCTTTTTACCAGGCTTATATCTACTTACTTAGTCTTCTTACCAGGCTTATATCTACTTACTTAGTCTACTTACCAGGCTTATATCGACGACTGCAGACTCGGCTACACCGTTCTCGACTGTTCCATTGAGGATGTGGCATGGTTTACATAGCTTTAAAAAGTACCTCACATACCATTCCTTTCGTTGTTCGTCCATCACATCTGAGGGCATGAAATGACTAGACCTAGTATTGAGATGCAAAATAAGAATTGTAGAAGGGGATTACAGATTTAGTGCCTATAATCAAGATAAAAATTACATTGATTAATTTTCTACTATACATTTAAACATAATTTTAACTGATCACGTGACCATGGTAACTGATTACATACCGGCTAGATGAACTCCCAATCTCCCAAAGATTTTTGCAACAGTTACAAGAGTGAAAGAGGGCTTCTCGCAGATAACAATGTCTAGATAAGGCCATATGGTCGGAGATAGCATCTGACTGATGATATCTGAAATGTTTTTATTCTTTGTTACACCAACTCATTACGATTAGTGAAGCTACATCCTATTCTAAGCACAGAACCTCAACTTGTTACAAATAGTTGAGTACTATTTAGAGTACAAATAGTTGAGTACAGACCTTTGGAGAGATGAGGACAGATGTCGATGAGGACTGTGATGGCGGTGTTCCTTACTTGGACTTCCTCGTCTTGAAGGAGTTCGTTAATCTCAGGTATCAGTAACTTTACTGTACCTAGTTCACTGAATAACACGTTTTAAGGTATTATTGTATTAAGCTAGAAGCTTACTATGTTAATTAATAATGCTATTATAGAATTGCAGTTTGCACGGTGTTTGCAAAAGGCCACTGAAAAGGACAATTCATTTTGATTTTAAAACATCATCATAACATCTTTCTAAAGAGAGATTGTTTAAAAATGTTTAACAGTATGTGTACGGTATGTAACAGTATGTATGGTATGTAACAGTATATGTATGGTATGTAACAGTATGTATGTAGATTATAGAAGTATGTTCTGAAGGGCAAGGCCACAATGTAATTAACGCATATTATAAATGCACATATTATGTAGATTGTAGTTATTTTCGACCAATAATTGCACGTGCGCGTGGTAATTCCCAACTTTAACTATCTTTTCTCACAGTATGGTAGTATTGTCAGAATTACACTGCTACATTAAAATAGTAGACATAATTTTAGTAGAAATCGCAAGCACGGTCTACTTTTGAGGCGTTAAGACTCGTCTTTTGCATACTGTAAATAAATTAATATGTCCTGTGTTCAGTGTTGGGCAATATAAATAGAATAATTAATAAAGTGACCAGTGTAGAGGATTACATCATGCACAAGACATCTCTTGGCCTTTAATGTGGTCTGACAAACGACAGTCTGACAAGAACTAGTGTACATTGTAAAAATCAGCGAAATGTGTCAATAATATGATATAGTTGTGAGCCAGAAGCTGGATGGTCCATGGTAGGACCACACGTAACTTGCGGGGCGTAATGTTCATAGCAATGAGCAGCACTCAGCAGCTGGCCCCCTGCCCGGACCTTGTGATATAGTGTTGAATAGGTTCAGTGTAATTGTAGCTATTAAGTACGTTAACTCTCCCTACATGCAATGGAGAGCAACGAATTGTAACAGTAACAATAGTTTTACTAGTGTATATTTTACCCGATTGACTGAGAAATGTCGACGAGGCTGCTACACATGGCACTGCGTACATCATAGTCGATATCCTGGCAGAGCATTCGGATGGCTGGAAATATTTCCGCTTCTACCTGAACGTTTAAAAACTTACTTTCGTGTTATAAGCGATCTTTGTTCAAAACGAGTTCTATTCAATTAACTCATTTTAAAAATTATGAGAACTTGTTAAAATGTATAAAGCATATCCCACGTGTCTTTGATGTCTGTTAAAAATTTCTAAAGAAAAAAGTCTACTTTAATTATATTACCTGAGATAGCCTTTTGCAAAGAGTCGTTATAATTTCAGCACAAGCGATACGCGAGGACGTCTTTTGTGCTAAATTACCTGAAAGATCGGGATTAAAGGCAGCAGTTGTCTTAAAGGAACTTAGATTTTAACACTTGAATGAAAACAATATAATTTATGAGTTGCTTCACATTATTTTCTGATAATGAATGAAAAACGATGAAAAGAACTAGAAATGTAATAAGATACCTTTTTCAAGGGCAAGTTTTATAACATCACTCTGAAGAAGAGTCTCTTTAGGAACTTTCAGAATAAAAGTCACGAGAGCATTTATCCATGATTTGTGAGCAGTCACTTCTTTACAATTTATATGATTCTGAAAACAGAAATTGATAAAAAAACAATAACAAATATTATTTCTATATCTTATAACGTTTTTTGTGGTTCACAGTATAATATTCACGATATTATTTGCTGAATACTACTTACCCATAACAGTGGAACTATACAGGAAGATATTTGGTGTGATGTCAGTCTTCCACTTAGTATGAGCTTTGTAACACACTGTAAAAATAAATATTGTTTAAAACTTATATCGTTTGTAGGTAATCACATTTAACGATTATCATTTTTTCATTTCTCAATTAATTACATAATAAGGCCTACAAACATGACCTCGAAATGCTAGTTCCATGCTTCTGATGTCTAAGACGAAATTTCGTGTGCACTGAAACAAGATGCTTAGTTGTCAACCGTTAAATTTCATGACTTACTAAGTAAAACAATTATCAGAATTTATAAAAACCTGGCCACAGATGGTCAACAGCTCTGTTGGTGCCGAATTTGTCATATCCTGAAATGTAAAAAGTGTACAAACTTTATTTTATTAATTCTTTCAACCGAAACAAGGAATTGCAATCATATCAAACTGGAATGAAATATACGAATTAACCGAACTACCGCCTTAAAAAGTGTAGCAGTATAAATTTGTATGTAATTGCAGGAACAATTTAAAGAATCTCACCACAAATTGAGGTAGAATCTCTGAAAAAGTGGACGGCTCAGAAACCATGAGAGATGGTAAGCTGTTTGCAAGACTAATCTTCTGTGACTGTTGGCCATCGCTGCATTTGTGGAAACCGTTTATTTAAAACAATAAAACTGAAATATGCTAATATTTGACCAAAATGACAAGCAAATTATGCTTTTTCAATGAATGAGAGATTTTGAACACCATTAGTAGTACATGTACAATACCACTCGCCTGAGAATAATTGTTGCTCTTTCAAGTTGTGAAAGTGATTCACTGAATCTGAGATCTTCTATCTCTTCTGTGGTCTGAAAAGATAGAAAAACATATGACATATCTGTTAAACTTAAATTTTTGCAAAATGACCATGAAATAATCAGTATAAATTAGTTTATACTTAAGAGCGAGGAGTGAGCATAAAATCAAAATATTTCTTTTTAACGAAGAAAAAGTTGGAGAACTAGTGAAACAAATTTTTAGTCAAACAATTTTAAAACTCACCAATAGTCCTTTTGTACATGTCTTTTCGAATTGCACATCCTCATCGTCCAGCCAGTTCAATGATTGGAACATAGAACTGCCTATGATGTAAACATCATCATGAAAATTCCATTTCTAAGATCATCCTGTCATTCAGTTTATTATATCTATTAAGGGGAGATACACCAAAAACGTTTTTGCTCCGAACATCGATTTTATTTTATATTATGGTTAAATAGACAAAAAGAATAAGATTGCACACCTTCAAAATTTTCTAAAAATATTCCCTCATCGAGAAAAAAAAATATTTTTCTTTTTCGAAAATTTTTAAAATTTGGAGAAGTCTGTCACTGTAATACCGATAGTTCGGCCATTTTAAAAGTTTTTTGGCTGATTTTTTACTGAACATTACTTACAATCCGTACAAGAAGCCATTGAAAGGATTATATAATTGAAAGATAAATTAAAAAGTTACAGACCAAACAAGGTCGAAAAAATAAAATTTTTCCCACTTCTAAAGTTGTACATTTCACCAATCACCCGGGTCAGCAGATATCGCTTCAAAACTTCTTGTGAGTGTAGCTGATGATCATATCAAACTTTTTGGAGTAGGATTTCTCTCAGATTTGAGTTTTAAGCTATGCAATGTGGCCTCAAACGACTTAGTAAAATTCATCGTAAAAAAGGGCAAAAAAGGCAGATTTAAGGCTTAAAATGCCTATAACTCAAAAAGTATCAGTTTTTTTGAAATAATTTTTCAGAATCGTAATCAGCTTGGTAAGACGAATCTTTTAGTACCAGATAGGTGCTTTTAGAAGACAAATTTTCTAGCTCGAACACAAGGGTCTCCCCCTTGTATAAATTTTGTACAAATTGTACACATTTTTTACAAATTTTGTGTCTTTAAATATTATAAATGTCGTACTAAAAGATTCGTCTTACCAAGCTGATTACGATCCTGTAAAAATTATTTCAAAAAAACTGACACTTTTTGAGTTATAGGCATTTTAAGCCTTAAATCTGCCTTTTTTGCCCTTTTTTACGATGAATTTTACTAAGTCGTTTGAGGCCACATTGCATAGCTTAAAACTCAAATCTGAGAGAAATCCTACTCCAAAAAGTTTGATATGATCATCAGCTACACTCACAAGAAGTTTTGAAGCGATATCTGCTGACCCGGGTGATTGGTGAAATGTACAACTTTAGAAGTGGGAAAAATTTCAATTTTATTTTTTCGACCTTGTTTGGTCTGTAACTTCGTCATAAATTATCTTTCAATTATATAATCCTTTCAATGGCTTCTTGTACGGATTGTAATTAATGTTCAGTAAAAAATCAGCCAAAAAACTTTTAAAATGGCCGAACTATCGGTATTACAGTGACAGACTTCTCCAAATTTTAAAAATTTTCGAAAAAGAAAAATATTTTTTTTTCTCGATGAGGGAATATTTTTAGAAAATTTTGAAGGTGTGCAATCTTATTCTTTTTGTCTATTTAACCATAATATAAAATAAAATCGATGTTCGGAGCAAAAACGTTTTTGGTGTATCTCCCCTTAACCTATAGATGTGGATACTGGCGGGGAGGTGATCATTGTTTGTTTACGTTTTAGGTGGCGCCTCTATTCAGCAGGTTGAAGATGTGATGCAAATGTTGTATTATAGAACGCTTACATAACACTTGTAACGCCTTCTTGTTACCCCCCTTTGAAGGTCCCGAATTATTTTCTGAACGAAAGCTCAAAAATAACCGAGAAATCGACCTTCGTATTAACTCATTTTGATGACTGTTTCTAACCTAAAATTGCACGAAAAATCGATTTAACTAGGTTTCAGAACCTATAAACACTTCCTTATCCCTCAAAATTGATGTTTTATAGTTAATACGAGCAACAAGCAACATATAATTTGATCCTTCGGTTCTACTCATGACCTAAGGAGTTAAGCTGAAACCGAAAGATCGAGGAAATCCTCACCTTAACTGATCAAACTGTACTAACACAATTTTCAGATAGATATGTTCTTTGCGATACGTTTATTGCAGCTTTGCAACTTGAGTGATGACCAGAGTACGAAAACACACAGCAGGTAAGCAACTCACTTTTGGTGACTGTTCCTCACGAACATTCTGATCCTGCAACATAACAACAAGGAGATCGTCTCCTTAACAAATCGAACAGGTACTATCACAATTTCCAGAGCAGAGCATGATAACAAAGTCAAAAGAAACACAATTAAGGTAGGTTACGAACACCACAATAATATAACAATCATACTACGTAACAGCTAAATTAAACTGATTCTGACGACTGGCAGCCCTGATGTGCTCCGTGATCCTTAACGAGCGACCAATCGTAATAGAGGTGTTATGTCACGTGACACCGATCCGTCCAATCACAAACAGGAAGAGTAAGTCCCGACTCATCAGCGAGAAGTCCGGTCAAGAGACACCCAACAAATCAAGTAAACCCGAGACCAGCTCACCTCCGAGCGTAAGGAAAAGTACGATATGAAAGGACCTCCCATGTAGAGTGACCGCCTTCTTTTAAGAGTGACATTTTCTCTTTGTTCGATTTTAAAACCTGTTAATCAAACCAAATTTTTGTGTCTCATTGTCTTATAATTAGTTATAGCACGCTGCCCTGCCCAAACTTACTTCTTCAGCAGTTCAGGCTTCTCTTCCTGCTACCCTTATTTAACGCACAGCAGCGCACTAACTAATCCAAAATTACAAATTAAAGGTGATATCCTCGTACTTCAAACAACGGGTGACTTATAAAATATTCGTTTAAAATACTCAAGAACATCAACGAATCCCAGTCGGCGCGCTTCACGATAAGTTGTAAACCTAAATTAATACTAATATTATGACTCGCGTTAACCTAAAATACTATATCACAAACTGCGATCAGATCCATTAATTACCCACACCCTCTACTTGATTAAAGAAACGACGTATAGGCCCCCTTCAATACCGTCGCCAACGCATCATAATCAGAGAGGGACAAATTATTCCGTATTGTACGACAGCACCATGAAGAAGAACAGCCAGTTTAATATTTTAGGAGCCGCGCGCTGCGTAAGACGCCATCAGGGTAAATTTACCAGCTGCACCCCATCAGCTCCTCCGCAAACCGCCAAACTGTCAACCACACTCTCTACCGGTCACGCGCACCAGCCAAACGCTTCTCTTGTATACTTGCCGAACCAGTCTGCTTCTGCTGTTCCATCTGTCTTGCCAGTTGAACCGTAAATCTCCCTGTAAACCTCGGCACCCGAAACAATCCGAAGAGAAAAACTCGCCATCAATACTACCTACACAACTTTATACCAACCTTACCAATCTTTCTGACGGGTTTAATACCCAACACCAACGGAAATCATCCGGGTGAAACCACTTCCTTCTCTCAATGAGCAACCCACGCTCAAAAAACAAAATAACAGACTTTTACTCCAAGACTAATGTGAATAATGCCCACAGGTACCCTCAGCAGGCGACAAAACCCAGTGGAGCAGGACACCTCAGCAGAGCCCATCCAGAGGAGCACAAGCCTTCTCCACGGCCCGGTAAGTCTATCAATAATTTGTTACATGCGTAAAACAGATAAATATGCAAAAAAATAGAACTGCATGTCGCACCTACTTCCAAGAACTCACAAACACCGAAATTTTGCTTGAGCAGGAACCGTATTACCATAAAAACAAACTTGTTGCCGTCCCTGACTCTCACAAATCCTTTTCACCTTATCACAAGGATTCACCAAGAGCCTGTATACTTGTCCCTATTGACCTAGGAAAACTATCATACACTATGACCCCATTCAGTAATAGGGACATGATCTCAGTCAGATGTAATCTCAAAAACAGAAAAGACGTGATACTCACTGTACATGGGACACGAACCGAATAAACCCGAGATCGAACCTAATACACTGGAAAGACTGACGAAACTAGTGGAATTTACCAAGAAGAAAGATCTCCCACTCGTGATGGGCGCTGACAGTAATGGCCATCATATTCTATGGAACAGCTTCAGAAAGAACAATAATAGAGGAATACTAATAGCCCAAATGATGGAGAAACTTGACCTAACCGTAGCGAACAAAGGGAAAAATCCTACTTTCCTGAACAGCAGAGGACACAAAAGTATAATCGATATAACCTTGACCAACAAAAAAGGCGGCGACCTCATCTCTAACTGGAAAACTTCAACGGAGACCTCACTCTCTGACCACAAAATTATCAGCTTTAATATCAACCTCGGGAACACATGGGAGTCGTACTCCCGCAATCACAAGGACATGGACGCCGAGGCCTTCAGCAAGGCTGTGAACAGGAAGATGATAACGAAACCGTTCAGAGCCATGATCGGGAAATTCAAGAAATCGAATATCAATACTTGTATGACTTACATCAACAAAACCCTCACAGAAGCCCTGGATGAGGTGTGCCCAGTAGTCAAAGTCAACCACAAGTCTAAAACTCCCTGGACACACAACCTGAACATTCTGAAAAAGAGTGCTTAAAAAGCAAGGGGTAGGAATATTAAATCTCTGATCAAATCTCCAAACCTCCCCAACGAAGACAGAAACCATCTAGCATCTGAATGCGCCAAAAAGGAGAAAGCCTACAAAGAGGCAATAGAAGAAAATGACAAGTTAGCCTACCGGGAATACTGCTCGAAAATGTCTGACCCGAAAAAACTTGCAAAAGTCCCGAAAACGAAAAAACAGCCCTGGGAAGAACTGAACGTGTTAATAAAACCAGATGGAAGTTACACAGAAGACTCAGAGGACACACTCACCACCCTCGCGCACGAACACTTCCCCCCTGACCTCCAACCCCAGCCACAGGTTGTAACCCAACCAAATTCATACGAAAGCGAGGAGGATCAGGTGATAATCAATAAAATCATTAGCTTATCGAGAATGGACAAGGTTGTCAAGAAACTACCTCCCAACAAGGCACCTGGGCTAGATAATATACGAAACAACATGATCAAGGCAGCATGGCATGGGAACACATCAAGGTCCAAGGAGCCCTTAAGACATATATTCAGACAATGCTTAACGTACACATACTGCCCCAAAACTTGGAAGACCAGCAAGGGAATCATCATTCCGAAGGAAGGTAAGGACGATTACACCAACCCGAGATCTTACAGGATTATTAGCCTAACGTCGAACATCCAAAAACTCATGGAAAGACTAATCCTAGATTACCTGGAAAGGGATACCTGCGTTGACAATAAACTAACCAAAAATCAATTTGGATTCAGGAAGAGAAAGAGCACTGAAGCAGCTATCCACAGACTGACAAGGAAGATTGAAGATGCGATCCAAAATGGACAAATGGGTGTCTTCCTTGATGTAGAAGGAGCTTTTGACAACATCAGGTACAGCTCCATCTACACAGCAATGCTGGAAGCTAAAATTCCAAGCATAATTGTCAGCTGGATCAGAGACATGCTTTTAGAAAGGTCAATAGTACTAACCCTCCACGGCATCTCCATTACCAAGATAATCTCTAAAGGGTGTCCACAGGGCGGAATACTATCGCCCCTTCTCTGGAACCTCACAAAAAAAAGTCATTCTCTCGTCTCAGGGTAAAGGTGACAAGAATACCTGGGCCCCTTTGGCAAACTTTCTGAACTCAGGCAGCTTGAACGACTAAATTTGAAAAAATAAAACTTCTTGTCTGAATGAACTATTAGAACCTCAAGAAGCTGATCTGCATGTCTCCGCTACTAAAATGTTTAATGAGCCCAATCACTCATCACTTAACAGTTTAATCTTCAAAGTGAGTTGTACAATCTAGGTTGTTTTAAGTAGCTGTTGATAGTGTAAAACAGGAGTGACTTGATCGTTTTCATAACTTCGATTTACAATTTGTACCATAATAAAACTAGCACTGCCATGGGGTTCAAAAAGGGTCATTGTAAGCCTCCAGCGTAATGGTCCTAAGTCTCTGCCCCATGCAGTGCCTGTCAGCATCAGCTAACAGAATAGCCCTAACATAACGATCAAGCCACAAATTAGGTTCTATAATGATTTAATATTGTTGAATAAAGAGATTTGAATATAATATTTGTTTTATTCTGAAAAATATTTGTTTTATTCTGACATTAAACACACTATTAACAAATGAGAAACTGGATGACGACTTTCTCCAAGCATTCGCCGACGACTTAGCAATACTGGTACAAGGATTTGATCTGAAAATTACCATGAGGGACATAGTTAACAGATACCTCAAAATAATCAATAAGTGGTGTACTAGCAACGGAGTGAAACTCAGCAAGATCAAGACCAAGGTCATTGTCTTCTCGAGAATAAACAAAAAGTACTCTATGAAACCCATATCATTGGAGGGAGCCTCCCTGGAATGGTCAAATGAGGTCAAATACCTCGGAGTCACCTACGACAAACATCTAAGATGGAACACTCACATTAAGAATAAATGCGAACAAGCTAGAAAACTTCTGTTTATGAGTCGCAACTACATCTCCAAAACCTGGGGCTTATCCCCAGGGAAGGTAAGGTGGCTTTACAAACAAGTCATCCTACCCACCATTAGCTATGCCTGCTTCACTTGGATACACAGAGTAGACCAAAACACCAGTCTCAAGGGCATGCTTGGCAAAATTCAAAAAATAGCAACTCTACACATCACGGGGGGTCTCAAAAAATCGCCTAATATCACTCTAGATCTAATAGCAGGACTCATGCCGATAGATGTCCATTTAAAATTCGCTGCCTCAAAAACTGCAATTAGGCTAAAACTAGAAAACAACTGGATTGGTCAGTACTCCCTCACGAGCAAAATCATCTCACACGCTAAATACATGGACGAGGAAATTGGTAAACTCGGCATCTCTAAACACCTTTCACTCATAGATAAAACGATATCCACCAATCTGTACTCCAGCAACTATACAGTAACACTTGAACTCCCCCAGGAACTACCAGCAGAAACAAGCCTAAAAATCTTCACTGACGGCTCGCTCAAGAAGTCTATTCAACAGACACGACAGGGGCAGGCTTCATCATGTACAGAATCAGACGTACTATAGTAGAACAATCAATCAACCTGGGGAAACTAGCAACAATCAATCAAAGTGAAATGTACGCAATCAAAGTAGCGGCCGAGCTCCTTGTCAACGCTAACACTAAAAACCAGGTAATAAACTTCTACTCTGACTCGTTAAACTCACTACTACAACTTAACAAAGCACAATCCACCTCCTCACTTACTATTAATACAGCAACAATTCTGAATAAATTAGGAGAACTTAACCAAGTCTCTCTCTTCAAGGTTCCTGCACACACAGGGATACCAGGCAACGAGAGAGCCGATGAACTTGCCAAAAAAGGAGCAAACTCCATGTAACCTATTGGACCTGAACCTTTTATCAGCATCAGCTGGAGTAACGTCATCACAGAACTGCTAAACAAGGCAAGTAACGACACCCTGGAAAAAATAGCAGTACTTAAAATGAAAAAAGCTTACAAAACACCTCTTAACAGCTACATTGAGAGATTTGGCCTTAACAAACTGGCCTGTAGGAAGAAAGAGCCTCTAAGATTACTAACTCATATGCTCACCGACCAGAACTGGCTGAACAACAACCTCAGTAAAAGAGATAAAACTGCCACTCCTTACTGCTCCCACTGCAACAATACGAAAGAGACTGCAAGACACTTTGTAAGCGAGTGCCCTGCATACTCCACGGTAAGACTACAAACCTTCGGATTCCCATACATTAGTCTCGAACAAATTATCTCAGAATTCGGACCGGAGAAATTAACAGAATTTATCAAAAAATCCGGTCGAACAGACTCAAATTATTATCCTACATAGTGGCACCCGGCCACCCTATACTCAAATGAGCCATTTAGGATACCAACTCTCTGATATACTAACCATAGTACTAATCGGCAGACGCCTGTTGTTTCAACTCTATAGAACACACCATCGACGCGCACGACGCCACATGCGCGTGCACACATGGCCCTGATCCAATCAAGTCCTCTTTCTCGTACATTCCTATACTCTGACACCTGTTCACCAAAGCGACTAACATAGCATCATAACAATACACAACCTCCTTGACCTCGCACCATATTTTGTGCACCTTTTCCTAACTTCCTCACCATACCAGCGATCTGCCCAGCACCACCTTTGACAAACTAAGGAGCATGCCAATGGGGCGAGATCGGTCTCATTTCATAGTCACACGGGATCCATGGTAGTCAATCTTCGGAGGGGCGCCCCCACTCAACTGCCATTGCTCTGCAATGGTACCAGATGCATCTCTGTATTTCCGGGATAGTGGTGCAAACATCTGGGCCTCAGTAGGACTCTTTGGTATTATTGAGTCGCTTGCTCTTTCGAGTCAAGTCAGTAGGTGCTGCACAAAAAAAAAAAAAAAAAAAAACCCTCTGTATTTGACCCTCTGTTCAAATTGTTATCTATACCACAGCTTGGCTCGGCAAGGTCAGCGTGCAATATCGGCACCGTGGTACACACGCCATGATTACGTCATGAACTAAAAGTAGTGTGATTGTTATACTTATCACCTTAATAACACCAGAATGTGTGTGTGTGTGTGTGTCTGTCTGTCTGTCTGTCTGATCGTCTGTGTGTAATTTCCGAACGGTTATACAAAAAAAACGGTAATAGTTACGGGACTGGTTTTTTCGGTATAGTGCCGACAAAACTCTGACGAAGCCAATAGGCAAATTTTATAAAAATCGGCCGGTGGTAAGTGGTTTAATTGATGGTTTTGTACCACAAAATATGTTACATAAAATGGCTTGAGAAGAACGGCAAGAGTTACGGGGCTAGCTCTCTCTCTCTCTCTCTCTCTCTCTGCATAATATTATTTAGCGTATATATTACATGGCGTATATATTACATGGTCATATAATACTATAAACTTATTAGGGGAGGGAGTGCTCAAACGGTCTGTTTGGACTGTAGAGAGAGTTCATACTTTCATACGACAATGTAATGCATGTTCACAAATATGATAGGCTGGTGTGGTGCATGGTGTTAAGGGTTAATTTCCATTGATTATTGATTAAGAATTACTATCTTTTAAGCATACTATTGGATACGTGAGGGCACTCCGAATAGAATTGCTCGCCTAATCCGGGTTTTGACTCAGCGGGTAATTACTCCTACCCTTTTTAACTGCGGCAGTGAAATCCCGGCCGTAGGCCGGGTTACACTAGTATATTATATAACCGTGCCCACTGCCCACGTGCAATACAAACTGTTGAGGGGGGGGGGGGGGGGGGTTTAAGATAGACAACCGATCTTCATAGTGTGATTTATGAACTGAGTGAGATTCCAAATCATGAACTGTGCTTTAAGTTTACACCAACTGGAAGCAAGGGAATAATGTATATATCCATGATTGCTCCCTAGCTTAACTTTGACAGTAAGTGTTTGAAAACAGAATCTAGGACACGACTTCTCTGGCAAGAACTGTATGTTCCAGGAGGAGGCACTTGCGGTGTAC